TGCACAGACGAGCACAGAACACTGTTCAGCCTCAGAGCCTCAGAGGAGACAACAGAGCAGTGGATTTATTAATGTATTTACTGTATACTGCAGCTGCCACACAGAAAACAAGCTAACAAGCTATTTATTTCCCAACTATTTTCCTTCACAGACATAACCGACTGTTTTTGTAACTCGTGTGTTTTTAATGTAAGCTTGTGTGTGAATGAGAACTTAGTTTAGTACTCGCTTGCTGTGACAGCCGCTTTCTGTCCGTGTGCTTCGGATGTGTGTTCTCAGAAAACCGTATATCTGAAGTTTAAACTCGTATGGTTTGAATGTACAGTGCTCTCTTCCACCTTCAATACCATGACTGAGGTGTCCTTGAGCAAGGCACCAAACCCCCAACTGCTCCCCGGGCGCCGCAGCATAAATGGCTGCCCACTGCTCCGGGTGTGTGTTCACGGTGTGTGTGTTCACTGCTGTGTGTGTGCACTTTGGATGGGTTAAATGCAGAGCACTAATTCCGAGTATGGGTCACATGTCACGTTACTTAGTACTCACATGACAGCCGCTTTCTGTCCGTGTGCTTCGGTCGGATGAAAACCGTATATCTGAAGTTTAAACTCATATGGTTTAAAACGCATGATTTCAGCGCGATAAACATGATAATCAGAACCAAAACAGATGTTTTTAGCAGCTCTATTCTGGAAAAGGTGGCGGGGAGCAGCAGCAAATTTGCATTTAAAGACACAGGCCAGAAAAACAGCTCGTTTCTGCTTCCACTCAAAATATGCATTTTCAAAATGACATAATAAATGATCTGTGGAGTATTTTGAGCTGAAACTTCACAGACACATTCTGGGGACACCAGAGACTTATATTACATATTGTAAAAAGGGGCATAATATGTCTCCTTTAACAGGAAACGGCATTTGCGCAGCACAGTTCGCTTCTGTAATGTGACACGTCTGATTGAAACTTGATTGTCAGTGTTGTAATCATTAACTAAAATTAAAATTTTAGGTTACACTTTATTTTAAGGTGTCCTTGCTACTGTGTAATTATACATTTAAATACTGAGTAATATTATTTAACTACATGTACTTACTATACGGTTAGGATTAGGATTAGGGTTACTTGCATGTAATTATGCATAATTAATTGTTATTATAGTAGTAAGTACATGTAACGTGTAACAAGGACACCTTAAAATAAAGTGTTGCCAAATTTTATAACTAACAATAATTAACATTTGTTAATTAATAAAATAATAAAAAACTTTATTTCGTTTAGTTTCTAACATTAGGCACCATTTTTATTTAGTTTAAGTTGAAGTACTAAAATGATTAAAATAATTAAAATAAAAACTAAAACAGAAATATAAATATAAATGAATAAAAACTAACTAGGCACATTTAAAGAACAAAAACAGATGAATTAAACATGAAGGAAAACTTCTTCTGAATTAAAAATGTAAAAAAAAACGAACAATAATATAAAAATGTATAAAAAAATATCAAATATTACAAATACTATAATTGTGCATTAATAATACTAAAGTAACACTGTTGATTGGACATGCTTGAATAAAAAAAACATTATGCCCTACCAAGCTTGGATATGTCAGCAGAAAACAATTAAAAGATAATAAATACAATTAAAAATATATATATTGTGCATTATCACGAATATACAAATATAAATAGAGTCGGTTTAATTTTATTTATTTTTATTGTAATTGTTTTAAAATGTTTAAATAAATAAAAAACTCCTACTTTCATGAAGACCAGAGTAAATGTTTCTGTACCTGTGATGCTGTAGCGGTGTGGAGGTCTTGGGCAGGGTGCTGGTTCTGCTGCGTGGAGTTGGTTGTGGGGTGTGCTGCTGTTTAGGAGCAGGGCCTGACACCACTCGAGTTACTGTAGATGGAAAACTGCTGGATCTGGGTCTGGACTGAACCACTGCAAGAGAATAATGCAAAAATCAGCTCTACTGTCTACTAGGGCTGCACGATATATCGAAATTATCGAAATATCGCAAATGTAAATATCGCGATATGCATACATGCATAGATATGCCCAACGGCCTGCGATATCTGAATCATTTTAATAATAGGCTACTTAAATCAAAACGTTGCAAAAGGTCAACGTTTTAGTTCGACGCATATAGCAGAGAATTGCTTAACATTAAAAAGAGTTATTAAGTGCAATAAGTTGCAGAAAACAACTCTTTGCCGTCTCGTCTTGCTGTCTGACTCACACCTAAAGCACAGCATCTCTTCAGTTCTGCCGCACACGTGCAAAGCGCGCGCACACACACACACACACACAGAGATGGTGCACGAACACCGAGTTGATTCGTCTTTCGCATCTCCTCCTCCTTATGTTTGAACAGACACATAAACACAGAATTATGTCAATAGTACTCATCTCGACGATCATTCTCGTAAACACAGTCAGTTATGTTTAAATGAATGTAAACAGCTGAGAAAGAAATCGGATGTGTATCATTATACTGGATCCGTGCAGTC